GTTTGGTTTCATTGCAATCAGAGAACACAGTTTGTGCGATTCAGTTCTTTCATATCTGTTAATGTTTGCTTTACATCTCTGGATATAGTCTATCTTGGCTTATGTTCTGAGGCACTTGAAAAGAAAGTCTACTTTGCCCTGGCTGCTTTTGTTCAGCAGTTAGAATGTCAGCCAGCGGACCAAAGACTCTCGGGTTTGGTTCCAGTCAAAGGCACATACTGGTTGTGGTTCGGTCCCCGGCCCTAGTCAGTGTCATACAGGAGGCAACCAATCTTGTGTCTCTTTCACATCAATGTTTCTCTCCCCACCCCACTCCCCCTTTTCTTACCCTCTCTTCCTCTGTCCCTCCCACTTTATCTGAAGATAAGTGGGAAAATATCCTCGGGTGAGGATTTAAAAAGAGAGAGAGAGAGAAAAGAATATGTATTTTGTTGTTATAGAGTGTTCTGTTATTGTCAATTAGATCCTTCGGTTGATGGTATTGCCGAACTCTTCTGTATGTTTGCTGATGTTCTGTCTAGTTACTCTATCAATTGCTGAGAGGAGGGGTATTGAAGTCTCTATAATTGTGGATTTGTTTATTCTTTAATTTTAAAAGTTATTGCTTCACATTTTAAAACTCTTGTTTGGTGCATACATGTTTAGGATTGTTATGTCTTCTTGATCAACCTTTTTTATTTATTTAAAAAATTATTTAATTGATTATTTTTAGAGAGAGGAAGGGTGGAGGAGAAAGAGAGAGAAAGAGAAACAAAGGTCAGCCACCTTGCACATGTGCCCTGACCAGAGATGGAACCTGCAACTTGGGTACCTGCCACCTTTTGGTATAGGGGACCATGTTCCTACCAACTGAGCCACACTGGCAGGGCTTAACCTTTCTTTAATCATTATGTAATATTCCTCTTTGTTCTGATAATTTTTTGTTTTGAACTCTCCATTAGCTGATACTAATATAGTCACTCTCTTCCTTTGATTGTTTCCACAATATGTCATTTTCCATTCTTTTACTTTCAATCTGCCTATATTGTGTTTGAAGTACTTTCTTTTTTCTAGATAGCATATAGTTGGGTCTTTGTATTTCTGTGCATTTGTGTTTTTATTCAGTGTACTCTGTCCATCTCTGTCTTGTAATTGTAATATTTAGGCTACTTACTTTTAATGTAAAGGCTTAAGTCTGTCTTGTATTTTATAATTCAACATTTCCATTGGTTCTTCCTTGTTATATTCTTTTCTTAGGCCTTCTATTTCTTTGCTGAGACTTTCTATCTTCATTGTTTTATTGCGTTCAAAATTGTTTATTGATGCATTTTTATATTTTTATTGGAATCTGGAAATTTTGAGTATTATACTAATAAAACTCTGGATCTTATTTAAACCTTCTGTTTTAGCTAGCTTCCTCTAACACACTTTGGCAGGAAAAGTGAGGGCCACTGCCCCATTACTTTCAGGTGCAGGTAGAAGTTGAAGTTCCCTACTCTTCATTCATTGACATCTGAGGAGGGAGGTCCTTCCTCATTACTCTTGGCAGCATGAGAGTTCTAGATCCCCACTAGACCTCCACTGATACCTTCTTGTTCCCCATGAAGTTTCCACTAACACTACTAGGGTGGTGGCCTTGTTCCTGCAGTGATGGTGAAAGCCCTGAGTCTTCACAAGTCGTCCTCCTTTGACACTACCCAAGGGAAGAGGAGGATTGGCTACTCCTTACTACCTGATGAGTATAAAAGTTCATGTTCCCCATGTGGTTTCTATTGCCACTGCAAGAGTTGAGAGGGTGGACCATTCAGGTCCCCATTCAGTCTTTGCTGGCATTGTTGGTACTTGAGCCACACTTTTTCTTATGGTGTTTGACTGAAAAAGAATGAGTTGTTGTTTTTCCTAAAAGTTTTCTGCCTTGTTAGGCGGCTTGCTTTTGTCTAGAGGGAAAGCAGGTTTTTTTGGTGTTTTTGGTAGTTATTTTTTTTGTCTGCCCTACTGGTATTATTGGTTTGCTGACTGCTTTAGCTCCAAATCTGGGATAGATAAGATAGAAAGAAAACCCAGGGAATTCAGTAGTGTATTGTTCCTCAAAAATCTTCTTAGGCTTGTTTTATATATAATGTCTGGGGCTTTTAGTTGAATTTCTAGGAGAGGGAACAGTACATATACTTTATCTTCCTGGAAACAAGTTATTTTATCTATTTAAAATAAATAAAAATAAAAAAACTTTCCCCCAGTCCCACTTTAGTTCTTTTCTCTGTCCCCATTTAGGACCAAACTCTTTGAAAGCATTTGTCTATATTTAGTTTCTCCAGTTCCTCTCTTAAACCCATTCTAGTAAGACTTTTATACTATTCTGAAATCACTCAGCGAGGCATCATTTACTAGTGAGTAATCAAAGCAATGATACTTATCAAAACTGTGGCTGAAGCTAAATTTTTACTTAGAGGGATATCTGTAACCTTAAAAGAGAAAAATACCTGAAGCCCATTGAGCTGATAAGTAATTTAAGAAGTTAGAAAAAGGATCAACCCAAAGAAAGAGGCAAAAGGGATGAAAAGATGTCAAGACATTAGTAAAATAGAAAACAGCCCTAGCCGGTTTGGCTCAGCGGTTAGAGCGTCAACCTGCGGTCCAGAGAGACCCGGGTTCGGTTCCCGCTAAGGGTGCGTACCTTGGTTGCAGTTTGTCCCTGGCCCTGGTTGGTTGTGCAGGTAGCAGCCACTCGATGTGTCCCTTTCACGTCGCGATGTTTCTCTCTCTCTCTCTCTCCCTCCCCCTCCCACTCTACCTGAACAAAAAATGGAAGAAAAAAAACAAAGCTAGCATTGAGAGAATTAAGAAATTCTGGCTCTGGCCAGTGCGGCTCAGTGGTTAGGGTGTCAGCCTGTGCACCAAAGGGTCTCAGGCTCAATTCCTGGTCAGAGGCACCTACCTGGGTTGTAGGTTCCATCCTCAGACTCGGTCAGGGCACCTGTGGGAGGAAATCAATTGATGTGTCTCATTCACATCAATGTTTCTTTCTCTCTCCCTTCCCCCCTCCCTACCTCCCTTCTATCCTTTCTAAAAATCAATGGAAAAAATATCCTAGGGTGAGGATTAACAAAACACAAAAAAAAAGGCAATTCTGGCAAGGCAGTTAAGAAAATCAAAGAAAAGGCAAAACTGTATTATAATGTATATTAGAAATTATTATAATTTTAATCAACATATTTAAATAAGATTGTGTGAAATAAACCAGTTATCAGAAAACTAGATAAATGACCAAAAGTGACTGAAAAAGAAATAGAAAATCTGAATGGTCCTATAACCATTAAAAATGCTGATTTATGCCCAGTTGGTGTTGCTCAGTGGTTGATTGTAGACCAAGAGGTCACTGGTTTGATTCCTGGTCAGGGCACATGCCCTGGTTGTGGGCCAAATCCCCAGTGGGGACATGCAAGAGGCAACCAGTCCATGTTCTCTCTCATCGTTGTTTCTCTCTCTCCCTCTTCTCTTCTCTAAAATCAATTAAAAAAAATTTTTTTAAATGCTGATTTAGTGATTAAAAGTCTTTTCTTCTCTCCCTGAAAAGGCCCAGGTGGTTTTTCACCTGAGTTTGAACAAATGCTATTTCCAGTGTTCAGTAAACTTCTTCAGAAAACAGAAAAAAAAGGGTAATAATATTCATTTTATTTTTCTGAGGCTTATATTATAAGCTTGTTACCAAAACTAGCAAGGAGAATGTGATAGAATGAAATTTATAAGCCAGTCTCACTTACGAACATAGCAAAAAAAAAAAAAAAAAAAAAATTCAGCATTGTATTAACTGGTAACACAACCAAATTTGGCTTATTCTAAGAATGCAAGATTTAAGCAACATTAGAAATGTATTCAAAATATTTATGCCTTAATAAAATTATAAGTTACCATTCATCACATTATTGATTTAGAATACTGAAAGTCTTTAGTTAAATCAGAGAATGCTGAGTGTCTATATTATGTGATGGGAACTAAAATTCACTTTTGAGTGATATAACTGAGTCACAGTAGATGGCACAACTAAGTAATTGAAGGAAGTCAGATGGTCTCTCTGAAAAAGCAAAATGTGAGTGAGGTTTTGATGAATAATATTTAGTGAAAATGTTGGAACAGCATTTGAAGTAGAGGAAAATAAAGTGTAGTAAAGCATAGTTGTGACATTTGGCAATGGTAAGTGAAAAATATAACTAGAGCACAGTGAAGATATTGGGACCTGGCAGGAGATGTGAGAAGATTTGGGCCTATTGTGAAAGGCTTTGTCTGGATAGCCTTGCTTCTTGCTAAGTAGTGGAATATATCAACCCGTGAGAGTCAAAGTCAGTGAAGACTTCTGAGCATTCTATTTATTTAGCTGCTTATATGAAATGTCTTTAGAAATAAGATGTATAACTTATTTGCATTCTTTTGTATATATATGTACTTTATTTGAAGTCAGGGGCTGCCACTGATTTTCCTCAATTTTTTGTTCACTAAAAATTTAGGAATCTGAAGTTATTACTGAACCACTAATTTAATGTCTTAATTTCCTCAATGGAGAATCTTAATCTCTTAAAAACACTCGTGGCTAACTCTCTCACCAAATTGGTGCCTAAGAACTTTCCAATGAAATATGTGACAGAGGCCTGATTAATTTAATTTGTTTTGCCATTTGCTAACTTCTTTGTGGTAAAATAACATTTTAATACATCTCTTTTTAAGAAACATTTGTAATTTTATTTTAGTTTTTTTATTTTACCTTTTTTAAAAGTCACTGGAGTGAACTTTCATTGGTTTCCAGGGTTTGTTTTTTGTTGTTGTTTTTTCTTATTTATTGCATTAGTAGATACAAGGCAACAGGTTTGTTTGTTATGCTAAACTTTGAATCAGAGAATTTTAAACCTAATTTAAAAACTTCATATTGCTCTCACTTTTTTTCTTGATGCATTCTTTTAGACCTTCTAAAGGTGTTTTTATTTAATTTTTCTTTATTATATAACCTGTTTGATTTTTTTAAATTTAAGGTGTGACTGCACAGAAAAGTTACAGAACAAATTTGACTTTTTGCGCTCACAATTGAATGATATTTCTTCATTTAAGAATATCTACAGATATGCCTTTGATTTTGCAAGGGTAGGTGGAATGTCCATGTTTTGTAATTTTAATATTTTTTTAATCTTGAAGCTATACTTAGGAAAATTGTTTTACTTATATTTTAGGATAAAGATCAAAGAAGCCTTGATATTGATACTGCTAAATCTATGTTAGCTCTTCTGCTTGGAAGGACTTGGCCACTGTTTTCAGTATTTTACCAGTACCTGGAGGTATGTATCCTTTTTTATTTTGAAAATATTATTTTAAAATTTAATCTGATTGAGAGTAAAACTCAAATTGAGGAAAAGCAAGTAGATTTTTAATACTACACTTTAAAAAAAATCTGCTTTGGTAGAAAATTTTTGTTAAAATGTATACACACCTGCTTTCATTTTTAGACACAAGTTCATATTTAGTAATTTATTCTATACATAGTTATTTTAATCCCCCACCACCAGTCTCCATTTAAAAAGAAACCTTCAAGAAATAATTTTAGCACAGTCTTCATACAAAAGTAGTTTCTTGGGTGTTTGGCAGGAGAAAAGGATGTTAGTGCATAAATCAAGTTTCTTTCTGTTACATGTCTTAGACTGAAATGCACATAAGAATCAATAATAGTAATAGAACTTTTATTATTTGATGTTCACAAATATGAGGGTGGCCATAATGGTGTACTTAAATTCACTGATTACTAAACATGAATGCTGAGTTTACGCAGAAAGTTTTATTTTAAAAGGTTTATCACACCACCTACTATATAGGCAGTGGTTTTAAGAAGAAACTGATTCTTTTTTATTCTCACAAGAGGACATTTTTTCATTTTTTTGTTCAGATAGAGTGGGAGGGGGAGAGAGAGAAACATCAACATGAAAGGGACACATCGAGTGGTTGCCACCCGTACAACCCAACCAAGGCCGAGGACAAACTACAACCGAGGTACATGCCCTTGGTGGGAACCGAACCCGGGTCTCTCTGGAGTGCAGGCCGACGCTCTAATTGCTGAGCCAAACTGGCCAGGGCGAATCTGTTTGCTTTTTCCATTGCTTTCTTTGGTTTTTGTTTGTGGCCTTTTTAACTTCAGGGTTTTTTGTTGGGTTTTTCTGGTATAGTTCTCACCATTCCTTGAATTACAGATTCTCCAGCTGATTGTTTATCATAGCAAGTTCCCCAGAGTAGTTCTATTTAAAGATTGTGGTAAGAGACAATGAATGGTATGAGAAGGTTTTATGTGAATAGGTCTTGTGCACACTTACATTTTTTTTTTAATTTATTTATTTTAGAGAGAGAGGAAGGGAGAGGGAGAGAGAGATAGAAACATTGATGAGAGAGAACATCGATTGGCCACCTCCTGCGTGCCCCCCACTGGAAATTGGGCCCACCACTTGGGCATGTGCCCTGACTGGGAATCAAACCGGCAACCTCTTGGTGCATGGGTTGACACTCAACCATTGAGCCACACCGGCTGGGCACACTTAAATCATTAAGCCTAATAAAGTAGATGTTTTTGATGGATGTTATCAATCTTTGTCTTATTACTTGTTTTGTCAAAAATAAATATAACTGAATACTATAAAAATATTCACCTCTAAAGGGAACTGAGAGCACTAAATATTTTCAGACACTTATTATCTAGTGACGGGTACTTGGTATACTATCTTTTAAATCTTTTTTTTTTTTTTTTTAATTTTTTAGAGAGGAAGAGAGAGAGAGAGAAAAACATGATCAGTTGCCTCTCTCACCTGCCCCGACCAGGGATGGAACCCACAGCCTGGGCATGTGCCTTGACCTTTTGTTGTACCAGATATTCTAACCAACTCAGCCACACTGGCCATTGCTCTTTTTAAATCTTTATAACATCATTTTGAATTACATTTTTATCCCCATTAGCAAATGAGGAGGTGGGTTCTGTTGTTAAATAACTTTCCTAAGGTTACTCAATTAAGTGGCAGAAGTGGGATTTGAACCCATGCCTATAGTCTTTCCACTGTTTCAAAGATACCAATTTCAGAATGTGGCTAAACAGTAAATCTCATGCAAAGAAATTAATTACTGGGAAAAGCAGCACAAGGAAATTTACTGGACATAAATATTGTATACCTTGATCTCATTTGTGGGTATATAAGTATATACATAGGTAAAAATTCATGAGTTCCCTAAAGTACTGGTTAGTTTTCAAAAATGAAAGAAAAATAAGAAAAAAATAAATTGGTGACATTAACATGTAAAGACCCCCATGGGTTCTCTTAAAAACACAGTTTAAAAGAGAAATAAATGTTTTAGGAAAACCAACTTTAAAAATATACTATAACTAGATTTACTGAAGTCAAGCTCTAATTAATAATGGTGGTTCTATAATCCAAATATTTATATCATTTTCTACAGCAGTCAAAGTATCGTGTTATGAACAAAGATCAGTGGTACAATGTATTAGAATTCAGCAGAACTGTCCATGCCGATCTTAGTAACTATGATGAAGATGGTGCTTGTAAGTATAATGTTTTCCTATAAAAATAAAAAAGTTTGAACTATTAAATGAGAATATGCATTTTGTAGCCCAGGATTTGAACTTTTTAACAGTAACTTATTATTTAATCACGTGGGAAGTGTGGAGAAGGCAGGTGGAGAAGGTAAGCAGAGGACTTAAATTGAGCAATATTATTAAATCTCTGCTGATGAATGAAATATTTTTTATTCCTCAGTAACAGTATTATAATGCTTAATTTAAATTACAATTTCTGTATATGTTTAGTGCTAAAATTCTGCTTCATTTCTGTATTTCCTGGCATTTTTTTTAAATTTATTTTTGTTATAATGTTTCTCCCCCTGCCACAAATACCCCCCCCCTTCCCCGTCCCCAGCTTTGTTGTCCATGTTTATTGTTCATGCATACATGCATATAAGTTCTGTGGTTTATCTCCCCCGCCCCACCCCCTTTTCTGGGGATAGTCAACCAGTACCCCACTTCCACATCTATGGGACTACCCCGTTTCTCAGACTGTTAATGTTCGTTATATTCCACAAATAAGTGAGATCATGTGATATTTATCTTTCTCTGCTTGGCTTATTTCACTTAGGATAATACTCTCCAGGTCCCTCCATGTTGTCTCAAAGGATAAGAGATCTTTCTTTCTTATAGCTGCATAGTACTCCATTGTGTATATGTACCACAACTTTTTTATCCATTCATCTACTGATGGGCATTTGGGCTGTTTCCAGATCGTAGCTATTGTAAATAGTGCTGCTATGAACATGGGGGTACATATATTCTTTCTGATTGCTGTTTCAGGCTTCTTAGGGTATATTCCTAGAAGTGGGATCACTGGGTCAAATGGCAATTCAAATTTTAATTTTTTGAGGTAACACCATATTGTTTTCCATAGTGGCTGCACCAGTCTGCATTCCCACCAGCAGTGTATTAGAGTCCCTTTTCTCCACAACCTCGCCAACACTTGTTTGATGATTTGTTTATGGCAGCCATTCTGACAGGTGTGAGGTGATACCTCATTATTGTTTTTTTTTTGTGGTACGTGCCCTTAGCGGGAACTGAACCCAAGTCTCTCTGGTCCGCAGGCCAACGCTCAACCGCTGAGCCAAACTGGCCAGGGCTCATTGTTGTTTTAATTTGCACCTCTCTGATGATTAGTGACATTGAGCATTTCTTTATATGTCTCTTAGCCATTTGTATGTCCTGTTTGGAGAGGTGTCTATTTAGGTCCTCTGTCCATTTTTTAATTGGGTTCTTTTCTTCCTTTTGTTGAGCTGTATGAATACTCTCTATATATTGGAAATTAATCCCTTATCTGATGTATCATTGGAAATTATGCTCTCCCATAGAGTGGGTTCCCTTTCAATTTTGGTGGTGGTTTCTTTTGCTGTACAGAAGCTTTTGAGTTTGATGTAGTCCCATGTGTTCATTTTCTCCTTTGTTTCTGTTGCTTTAGGTGATGTATCAGTGAAAATTCTGCTGCGTATAATGTCTGAGATTTTGTTGCCTACATTTTCTTCTAGGATTTTTATGGATTCATGAGTCACATTTAAGTCTTTTATTCATTTTGAGTTTATCATTTTTTGTATGTAGCTCTCCAGTTTTCCCAACACTGTTTATTAAAGAGTCTGTCTTCACTCCAATGTATGTTCTTGCCATTTTTTTCAAAGATTAATCGAACATATTGTCTTGGGTCCATTTCTGGGTTCTCTATTCTGTTCCATTGATTTATCTGCCTGTTCTTGTGACAGTACGAGGCTGTTTTGATTATAGTAGCTTTGTAGTATAACCTGAAATCTGGAATTTCCTGGCATTTTTCTATGGAAGAAAAGTACAGTCATGATTTAAAAAAAAAATAGGAAAATAAAATGTTAGCCATAATAGAAAAAGCTTGTAATACTAACTCAATCGTTTTTTTTTTTTTTTCTGAAACCTGACAAAACTACCTATATTCTTTCATAGGAATTACTGGCTGGAGCCAAGTAGTGGCTTATGTTGGACTGGTTTTCCAGTTAGCTGGTATGCCAGCAACTAGGTTGTTTTTCAGTTGCCATGTATTATTGTGCTTGTTTGCTATTTATCTTATGGTCTATCGAAAGCAAGAGAAAAATAGAGACTACCACAGGGTTGTGTGTTTTAAGAAAAATAGGGCAATAATATTTCTTTGTGGCAATGAATTTTCCTACATTTAAAAAGAGTAAACGGTGAGCTTGTTTAAATTGCCTGTCTGGCTGGCTTCTGTAGGTAAATGAATTTGAATCCCCTGCATTATAAAAATGTCTTTTTAGAATAGTTCTTAGATCAGCTATTTATTAGGCACTCAGTTTGTGTTGAGATTTATACTAGGGCCTGTTGTTACTGGAACCGTATAAGTTTCTAAGATGGTTACCCCTTTGTCAAGCTTACATACTTCTTGGTGAAACATAGAAATACATTTAACACTTTTCAGATTTTGTAAAATAGTTAAATGGCCAATTCTTTGGCACTTGGAGAAAGGGACAGGTTAACATGGATTTAGTTATTGGAGAGTTCATGAACACTTAAACCTTGAGAAGGAAGTTTCTACAGATACCCGTTTTGAAAAAAATTCCTTATATCATAAAAGAAGCTCAGACAGTGCCATTAAGTAGAAGAGTCAGTCTGGAAGCAAAACACTTGAAAAAGGGACGGTCAGTTTCTTGTTTGCTTTATAGAGAGTTGCGTTCACTAAATTCTAACAAAAATTGTTTCTTTATTTCTAGGGCCTGTTCTTCTTGATGAATTTGTTGAGTGGCAAAAAGTCCGTCAAACATCATAGCAAGAACTATTGTGAAGAAAATGCAAACCTTTTGATTCCTACGTGTATACAAGCTAATGAGATGAGGAAAAAAAACTCCAAAGGGTGCAGTTTTATTCATGTGAAAGACTTCTCATAGTACTTTTTTTTTCTTTTTTTTAAAGGAAGTTTTCTTGTTACATGTGATGGGCCTTGTGCCACACCTCTTCTGAGACTGAATATTGAAGTTTTTGTTTTGAGTTATGTTTATAACATTTATTTCAGAACAATAAAGATTCAGATTTGTCATAAAGGCCTTAAAGTGAAGATGTCCCTTGAGTGTCAGAGTGGTATTTATTTTTGTACATTTTAATTCTTGAATTTTGGAGGTTCTATTCACCATGAATTTGTGGAATTATAAAGATTTTAAGTAACCTTAATATTTGGCAGTGTAGTCTGCTGATGGTATGGCTTAATGTATTCATCTCTGCACAGTTAGGAAGAATATTTATTGACCTTCATTTATGGGTTAATGATTTTTTGATGCAATTAATACATTTTTACATCTTGGAAGTGCTCCAACTTTCAATTTGATTTTCTGTGAAAGCTGGCATGATTTTATGCACATACTTTATCTGAAAAGTTTGGAATTGGAAAGATGATGTCCAGTTATTTTCTTTTTCAACCATTAACTAGTATTGTCAATAAGCATAAATCAACATTGCATGTATATTCTTAATGTGAATTTTAAGTTTTCTGTATTCTGTCAATTTAAAAATACCATTTATATTTAAAAGAGCAAGGCTCATATATTAATGGTCTCAGAATCAGACAGCCTTATGAGAGAATTAATATCAATATTCTTATTGTTGTTAGTGGCATATGTATGATTCCTTTAACTGTCATTTTGTGATATAGGGAGTTGTGTTGAGTGCCCTTCTTTTTTTTTTTTTAAAGGAAGTTTCCTTTTTACATGTGATGGGCCTTGTGCCACACCTCTTCTGAAACTGAATCTATATATATATATAAAAGAAGATAATACAATAAGGAATTATGAGAGAATTCTGGATATAATTGTACACAATTCAAGGGTGCCATTTACATTAGTTCAGTCATGGTGTTGCTGATTATCACAGTTTTCTGACTGTTGGCAATAAAGTATCTGGAGGAATGGACAGAACAGCCTTTTCTAATTCACATAAAAGGCATTTTTTGGACTAGCAGCAGGGCTGTTGTACATTCCCTTTGAAACCATCCATTATCTCAGTGATAGGAAATTGTTCACATTCACAGTCCAGTCACAACCTCAGTAACATTCTAATTTCATTGTATGAGTGTTATAGAAGTAAACAGTATTTTTCCATAATAAGGCCATTTCTGTTGCGATTTAAGGAGAAGATTGATTTTTGATGATGAATTTATTTAACGAGTGATTTTCAGTACTGATTACTTAAGGGAGAAAAGCATTTTTTAAGATTTTTATGGTTTCCTTTTTGGCTGATAAGTTGGGAGAAAATGATTGCTGTTTTACTTGCTTTCTTAATGAAATTACTTTGTAAAACACTGATATAATAGTGGAAAACCATTTTTAAAAAATATATTTTTATTGGATGTTTCAGAGTGAGAGGACGGGAGAGAGAGAGAAAAACAGCTACCAGCTGCCTCCTGCACGCCCCATACCAGGGATTGAGCCCGCAATCTGGGCATGTGCCCTGACGAGGAATTGAACTGGCAAACTTGCAGTGCATGAGATGATGCCCAGACAACTGAGCCACACTGGCCAGAGCTGGAAAACATTTTTTTAAGTATTAGAATCACTCACTAGAACTGAGCATACCAACAGTGTTATGACTTAATATTATAAATGATGTTTTTAATATCAAGTTTATTATAAAGCATTTATATTTTATACATTTAAATCTTTATTATTTGACTCTTCTTTCCAAGGCACAACTGCTGAACTTGAAGAATATTGCCCCTTTTTGCTTAATTCCAAAATACATAAGTAAAATCTTACAAGTTGTCATAGCCTGAACTAATGATAATGTCTGTCATCTTTAGGATTTGAGTAAAGAAACACTTAAAACTTATAGAAGACTTTTTAAAAAATATAAAACTGTTTACTTTGCTTACTTATCCAAAGATACCTTTAAGACTTTTTGAATCTGAAAACTAAAATGAAACTTACTTTTACCCCTTAAGTCAAGAGTCTAATCCTACCCACGCCATACTTGCTTCACTCTCTTGCTCCTTCTAGTTCTCTTACCTCCTTAGAGTCATAACATTCACTTACTTTGGCGGCTAATTTACTTTGCCTTATGTATCAGGTAGGATGTGGGCTTGTCCCTTCTGTCTTAACTTCCTTAACTTATGTTTGAACAGCATTTAATTTATTGGGAAATTTACGATTAAGAGATTAAATGATATGACAGTATTAAGGAGCCTGCAGTGTACAAAAGTCTCCTAAGTGTTGTGGATCTTTTTTAATTAGTTAGCTTTAAGTGCCTTCCCAGGAAACCTGTTGTAAAATTTTCAGAATTATTTCCTTTGTATGGGATAAATAAAATACTCCGGTGCTTTATATTGGAAACCACTTGCTTCTTATAGAATAGCGTGTAAATAATTCTTCTACTTGAAGAAAGTAGTCAGGTGGTGTTGATTCTCAACTATGAGATGATAGAGAAGTTGTCACCCCCACCTCTCAGAGTTAGTAGTTTGAATAAGGCCTGGTATCCTTAGGTACTTGCAAGGAATTCAGGTAACAGTGTCACCTGAATTGGACATAAAAAATGGTGTATTGTTGTGTGCTGACCTGTCTCTGTCTGTCTTTTATTGTCTAATGATTTCTTGTTTTTTTAATGTTGTCAGTAAAATTCTTGACAAAACATTTTTGACAGTAATAGTATTTTTGTGTATAATGTGTAGGATTTGTTGATTTGAGTTTTACTTTTAAGTGCTTTGAACTAGTATTTCTTAAACTGGAATTTGAGGGCCTTCCATGGGGATGTTAGGATTGACTCAGAGGAGTATTTCTCTTAAGTGCAATTGCCTTTTCGTGTAGTAAACCAAAAATGTGTCTTTAACAATATTTTTCATCAATTTGTGTGGTGAGGGGGAGAAGAAAGTAGAATTACTAGAGTTCTTAGAGCATACAAGTTACGTAGCATAGCTTGGATTCAGAACATGATGCTTATTACAAATGAAATACTTAGTTTGAACTAAATATTTCTTCAACAGAACATGTTCTTTCTGCCTAATTGTTAATGTAAAATTATGAAAGGATTTATTGGAATTTATTATGTGCTCAGCTTGAGAAGCAAACAGAATGTTGACTTAATTTTACTTACTCTTGTAGAAGCATACTTAAAATTGTGATAATAATTCATAGTCTGATAAAGTTTTGTTTGGGCTTTTAAGGTTCCTGTAGGCTAAAATTTTGTAGCACATCTCTCATGTGCTTACCAGATGTGTAATCATCATGTAAATTGGAAACATTTTAATGATTTAAGTGCATATCTTTTTAGACTAAGAGAAAGGCAAATAATTTCTTAATCTTATTCCTAAAGAATTCTTAGTTTTAAAGAGGAATTCTCCCTTCGTGAGGAAGTGTTACTTCTTGAGGATACTGGAAAGTATTACAAGGAAACATTTTCAAGAAGGATTCGTTTTCTCTTCAGGAGAAGAGAGAAATTACAACAAAATAGGAAAGGCTACTCTGAATTATTAAATAGTCTAGATCTATAATTTTTTAACGAATGTAGTTTTATTGCTTTCATAAATATTTGGCAACAATCAGACAAAAAAGATTGTTTAAGACTTGGTCTTTTTTGCCCAGCTGGTGTGGCTCAGTGGTTGAGTATCGACCCATGCATCAAGAGGTCACCAGTTTGATGCCTGGTCCCCAGTGGGAGGCACGCAGGAGGCGGCCAATCAATGTTCTCTCTCATTGATGTTTCTATCTCTCCCTCTCCCTTCCTCTCTCTCTCAAATCAATAAAGAAAAGGAAAAAAAAAGACTTGGTCTTTTTTATTAACAAGACCTAGTTACCTATGAGTAGTACTGTGGAAGCCAAAAAGCAGTCTGACTTTTATGGTAAATTTATATTGATTATAGATTGTGGGAAGATGAATTTCTTCTCAAGCTTTAGGTAAATTACTACTAATTCACTCTTTAATTGTAGGAATTGTTCTAGTGAACTTTTACTTCACTGGAGTAAATCTTTAGAGCTTTTATTATTTTTAATGTTTTTATTGATTTTTTTAGAGAGAGAAACATTAATATGGGAGAAATACATCGATCAGCTGCTTTCACATCCCCCACTGGGGATCGAACCTGCAACCCAGGCATGTGCCCTGACCGGGAATCGAATCAGGACCTCTCAGTCCATTGGATGATGCTCAATCCACTGAGCCACACTGGCCAGGCTCAAAGCACAATTTATTTACCTTTTTTCAAACCCCAGTCTTAATAAAAAATCATAAATTTGTTATGCCCCCTTATAATCTGTTGTATCCTATGTAGATAGTGCTTTCTTTGCTCCTTTTCTAGTTGTTATTGGTTTGACCTTTTGTCCCAAAAATGAGAAAGTTTATTTAGAAAGCCGGGTAGAAGAAGTGAGCCAGCTGGGCTGTCTGCATGGACTCAGGAAACAAGTTACAGAGGCAAAACAGGGCCCATGGAGCTTAGGAAAAAGAAAGGCAAAGAAAATGTACCTGGGTTGAAGGAGAGGGGGAAAGGCACAGATGTGCTCAGAGCACGTACCTCATCTTTCTAAATTTTGTGTGCTTTGTCTACAATTTATTAAAACCTTTTATAATATAGCTCATTTTTGCATGGGTTCTGGTTTATGATATGTTAAATATTCTTTAAAATATATCCAGTAATAAGGTTAGACTTTAATATGAATATGGAATCTTGTCTTAATGCCAATATTATTGGAACTTTGTTGTATTTATTTTATGGAAATATGGTCCATAAATGGATGAGTTAGAGTAAAATAGTTTTATTAAAAATTTCTTTGTTTTTTTCCCCCAAATTATATCACTTTAAAGAAGTTTTATCCTGCATTTTGGCTTTCATAGCTGTTAAGTATTAGGAAAATTGCTCTATATTTTTCATGAATTTTTTAAAATATTAAGATAAAGTTGTGGACATTATGAAATATTAAAATAACCATACTTATAATTATTTTTAAAAGCTAACAAAAATAAGCCAAATGGACATGTATAAAACCAGATTTACCCAAAACTCATTTGTGTGTGTGTGTAAATTGAATGTTAACTGAGTATTGCCCATAACTTTTCCATGTAGAAAATAGATTGTGGCTAAGTTTTGAAGGTGAAAAGAAAATTTGCTTTTATATGATTGCTACCAGTTGCATTTGAACCATGGAAAAACTAATACCTACTTGAAAAACTTGTGATTTGAGACTTAGTATTATTAACTTATTAAACTTAGAAAATTAACTTTTGTGAATATTGAATTAAGTGAAGTTTGTTTACTTAGTACTTTACCTGTATTTTTCTATCATGCAAATGAACTGGCTTATAGCAAATTCATACATAATATTTTATCTACAAATGTAGAACTCTTACATATTTTGGATTTATATCATTCCTTGAAGCTACTTTGAATATGAAAGCGTTTATAGAAATAATATCAGAGAAACCTGAGTTGGTTTCTCTTTGCAGCATTCTTGTTATGTGACTTTTAGACATGTCACTTGACCTCTGTCATCTT